GGACTTCACTTAAGTTAAAGGTACCAACATTATTTGAGTGGGTGGTTTTGGAAGAAGAAGGATTGTCGTTCTTCTTGCCTTTCCAGCCACTGTTGGAGTTATTGTTAGCAGCTTTCAACTTATCCAGGTCGTCTTCAATATTAATTCCGATGTCGTAGACGGCCTTGAAGGTATGGAGATTATTCTGGTATTTGAGATGCTTGGAGTACTTCTCTTGAAGGTTTTTGATGAACAACCTTACGGACACTTTTTCGCTTGGCACCTCAATAATCTTAACAGAGGTTTCTCTCCATTTATTAAAAAAAGAGGTGAAACCTTCATTCTCTTTCTGCTTGAGGATTTCAAGTTCCCTATAGTCGGTCTCAACTTGAATATTGTATTTGTATCTATAAATGAAAGCGTTTACTATGGACTCCCAAGTAGAGGTTCTTTCTTTCTCAAGAGAAAAGAACCATTGTTAGCGAACGGTTTCGAGAGATAGTGAGAACAGAGAGGGAAACACCTTCTTGTCGATACCCTTAATACTCATTATTGTTTCGAAGGCTCTTAAATGAAAGTAAGGGTTATAAGTTGCTTTGAATTTTAGGATGTCGTTGGCATTGAACTTCTGCAGAAGAAGATCCTTGTCCACCGAGACCCCTTGTGAGCTAATCCCTTGAAATTTGTAGTCACTAGACAGTTTGCTCAGACTCTCTTGCATGAGGTCCATCTGTTGTTGTTTCACAGGATCATCAATCTTGAGGGTTAGAACCTTTAACGCCTCAATCACGGTAATCAATTGGTTCCTGAGCTCATTGACTTCTTCTTGAGTTGCCATTATTGTCTTAGCTTTCCTCTTGCGAGAGATGGGTTTGTCGAAAAGTTGGACTTGGATTAAAAGATTGTCTTTGATTAAACGCCCTTCTTTTCTTGACCACGCGCTGTAAATCAAACCATTTTTTGTTTTAATTATATGACTCAAATTGACCTTGACTTTACGGTTTGAAAGAGAAAAATAAAAAATAGGTGCGTATTTTTGGAAAAAATTAGGTATATATTTTTGGCGATTAAGTATAGGGTTTAAACAAGTTAATTTATTTAGAGGATTAATATCCGACTTACCCCCCTTAAGAAAATGACGGAAAAAACGCGCATACAAGACTCCCTTAGACATGGTCAAAGTGTATATATTAGTGTGTGCTTTATATAGTGAGTGTAAGTGACATGCTTTGACTCTTGTGTAAGACCATGGGACTTAGTGCTTAGACTCGATTAATGACTTAACAAGGTATAATTACCAGTAAGAATTAACCGAATCGACTGGAAAGCTTGCTCAATTAGACACAAAGTGATGACTCGAGCGATAAATCGAATTGTCGCCAAAATGACAGGACTGGCGCCTCTCTTTGTAGTGTAGCGCCAGATGACAGGACTGTCGCCAGGCGCTACACTCCACAGAGTAGCGCTACAATTCAAATTTTGGCGCCATTGCTGGAGCGTCGATCTGAAACTATTTTCGGTATTATTTCTCTACAGGGTATGTCTAAAGTCGTACTAAGTCAACTCTGATTAAATATTAAACTTTATTTACTCAAATTAATTAATTAGGCAAGGTTCTTTTTAGTCATTAATTTATTTAATCTTAGCATAAGTCAAACAAACGGTTAGGAAAAACACATAGAGTATGCACAACTAAAAATGCACAATTAGTCAAGTAGGCACAACATGATGCAATGAGTTTGCAACCTAACCATGGCTCTAGTTCTCTAAAGTTCGGGATATGGGTTAGTTAATAGAGGGTCCATGGTTAATTGTCCGGATGCACCGCGCGGAAGCCTAACCGTGAAGGGTTGGCGCGAGTAAATGGGACACCGCGAGTTTAGAAAAACGCGCTTCCATGGTTTGGTGAATTCAACATTCTCGGATGTACCCTTTGTTGCTCAGAGCGTTCAATCAGGTAGATGGAGCATGAATTCCCAGAGGGTTATGTCCATATGTAGAACACATATGGGTTTCAGAAAAGTGAGAAAAACTCAATCAGGAAGTAGGATCGAGCAAACAGTGCTAAAAACTGGTCAAAATTAGAACGCATATTTCTGGCTCGATATTGGAAGAACTTGGCGCCAGCAAACAGAGGCCAGCGCCACTTTTTGGCTTTAGCGCCTAGCGACAAAAGCTGTCGCCTGGCGCTAATGTCAAAATGTTGGCGCTAATCTTTGTTCGCTGACGCTGGTTCCTACATGCCTCAGCAGCTTTCTGTGCTCGATAAAAAATTTTCAGTTTCGCGCAGCATTATTTCGATCCTAGTTGTAAAAGATATTCCTCAAATTTCCTAAGTGTAAAAATCCTATGTTTTAACTCATTACGGATGGTCTTTCCAATGAGATCTTTTTTATGCATATGACAGTAATGTTAATCAAAATTACGCACATGAAATACTTAGAATTTTTCGAGTCTCATCCACTCATTCTAAATCATTGCCGAAATAAATTCAGGAATTAAAATAGAAATCCTCCCCAGTGGAGTCGCCAAAAATTGTAGGGAATATTTCAAGCGTTATCCCTAGCTTGAACCCCACTGTGATCATACACTAAAGTACGGTGGCGTCCAAAGGGAAAGAAGATAGAGCAAAAGAGTCGCCAAAAAGCTTTAGGAATTTGTACACTGTTCACAAGGTGAAGGTTACACCCCTTAGCAATCCAGAAGATCGTCAACTCCAATAGGTCTTAAACCATGACTGGTAGTTCGGGGATGAAGGTACAAATCTAACCTAAAAGAGATTGAACCTGCCCTAATAATAGGCATCTACTTTATTTTGATCGTATTCATGTGTGCTTTCTGACTAACATGCAATCAATATGATTAACCCTAAACCTGTTTAATCTATGTTGGTTGAACATTAATGCACAAATAAACTATTATTGGTGATCAATTGAATTATAATCACATTAACCCTAAACAAGATTATTAATTATCTTATTAAGCGTGATTACAAATACCAATTCCCTTTAAACATGCATAAAGGCGTGATCAAGCAATAACAATAAGTATATCAAGCAACATGATAATAATCAATTAATCATCATCAAAATAATAATAATAATAATAATAATAATAATAATAATCATGTTCATGTTAAAAATAAAGCATAATAATAGCAAGATCCTAACAAGATTAATAACAAACCCTAGCATGTCATTAAACAATAAAAATCAAAGCTTTAGCCCTAACATGATACTAACATGAATATTAGGAAAGAATATAGGAAGCATCGCAGGAATCATAATAAGCATATTTGATATTATAACCTTTTCCCTAAACATGATACTAGGAAGATCAAAACACCCTAACATGACATTAGGAATTATAATAACAACCTAGACATGATTTCTATATCATAATAACAATGCAAACAATTAAAGAACTTACTTGGATGCCTCGTATCTCTTTCTAATCACAAAATACACGCGTTAGTAACTTCAAGGAAAATAATAAACAACAATTAAATTAAATAATTGAAATAAATATTAGGGACCAAACCCTCAGAAATATCAAACCTTTCACGTCTAGGGTGAAGGCAACTTCGAACAATGCTAGGTGTGTCTACATCTTGTGAATGCGGAATTTTGTATGAAGGTTGGTTTAGAAAAGAGAGAGAAAACTTTAGAGAATTAGAGAGCTAGAGAATTAGAGAGTTGATGATTGTAGATTGTAGATGAGAATTGAGAATTGATGATTGAAAACGGAGTTTTTATGAGGCTATTTATAGAGAAAATCAACCAAAAAGATAGAAAAATAAACCAGAATTCTGACGTGAAAAAATGAAGTTAGCGCCAAACGCTTACATTAGCGTCAGATGCTAACGCTAGCGCCAGGCGCTAATGCTGGAGTTAGGCGCTAACCAGTTTTTTTACGCATTTTCTAAAATCAGATTAAATTTAACCATACAGGAGGATAAATCGTATTTTCCTCAAAAACACTCTTTTATTCTGATTAAAATTCTAAAAAGTCAACAAAAGTCAATTTACCAATGCTAATTGAATTAGAAATGAAAAGAACCTTCTAGAAGAATCTAGAAGACTAAAACCATTCCTAATTGCGTTAGGAATGATAAATCCATATTAGGCCCTTATCTAGATCATTATTAGACCTATAATATATCGTTTGAAAGCCCTTTTCAAGCCCCATCCAACTACACCATTATTAGACCCTTGCTATGAACCAACCAAACTGGATTGGTTGTTTTCTTAAAATATGTTTTCAAAAACAGAGAGAAAAGAAATTAAAACTATCCGCAACACTAAACTTTCCACACTTTCACTTCATTCGATTATGATTCGACGTGAAAAGTACTCATCACAGGATTTGGTTTTGGGGAGACACAAATGGGTGTCTACAATTAATCAAGTAGGATTGTCTATTTGAGAGACGGAGATTAGGAAGGTCTTGGGTGGGGATTAGGCGGTCTTTGGTGGGGATTAGGTGGAGATGGATATCCAACTGGAGGGCGAGGCGGGGATGGTTTTAGAGTTGTACCCGCCGGGGCAGGGATGGGGATGAATATTGGACCCACCGCGGGGATAGGGATGGGGATGGGGATTAAAATGTTAGGTGAGGATAGGGATGGGAAGACCAACATCTGCCCTGACCTGCCACATTGACATCCCTAGTAGGAATGTGAAATATGTTAAGATGTTATTACTTACAAATTAGTAAATAACATAAAAGAACAAACAAGGTAGGGAACGTTTTTCCAATTTGAGCTCTAAACGTAAACTATTGACAAAAATGGTTGCGTGGCAAAACTATTTACCAAACTAAGCTTCCAGGGTAAATCGCTGTCTCGGACAGCGTTTTACCCCTGGTTTTTTTTTAAAAAAAAATTCAACTGGTAAACGCTGTCCCAGACAGCGTTTTACCTTCTGTATTTTTTTAAATTCAGTAGGGCATAAAACGCTGTCTCGGACAGCGTTTTATCCTTGGGTTTTTTTTAAAAAAAATTCAATGGGTAAAACGCTGTCCGAGACAGCGTTTTATGCCCTGTTTTTTTTTTAAATGAAACGCTGTCCGGGACAGCGTTTCATGGCCATATATCAGCATGTTCACTTCAGCAGAATGCGCAAGAACTCAACCTCAACCTCAACGCTTTCCCTCCTCCCTCTCACACTAAACCACGACCGTACTCAAACACCCGCATTGCCGCCGCCGCCCACCCTTGCGCCACCGCTACTGCCGCCACCTTGCTGCTGCCCTCCTCCCTCTCACACTCACTCACTCAATTTCGTGGTTAGCCCTAAACTGAATTTAGTGTAATTGCATAGTTATTGTGGTTAATTATTGTGAATTGTATGTAATTGCTCTTACTTGTTGTTAATTCATGTCAATTGCATGTAATTGTTGCTAATTATTAATGAAAATGTGGTACATTGTTGATAATTATTGATGGTGATGTGGTACATTGTTATTGAAATTGTTCATGACATTGGTGAAGTTGATGATGGTGAAAATGTTGAAGTTGTTAATGGTTGAAATTGGTGAGAAGAGATGAAATTGTTGAAATTATTGAAATAGTTTAGGTTGAAATTGTTGAAATAATTCAAATTGTTCATGAAATTGTTGAAATTGGTGAAGTTGTTGAAAGTGAAGTTGTTATAGGTGAGAAGAGTCTTATTTCAGTGTTGATAATTTACCTCGCTCTAGATTTCGATAATCCTAAAATGTGTTTTGGTTATGTAGAATATGGCGTCACAAAATGTAGTTTTGTTATGCCGGTGGGGAGGAGAAATTCTGTTTGATGGACCCCGGGTCGAGTATAGTGGGGGAAATATGGAACCACTAACACTAGAACCGAACATGACTATGAATGATTTGATGAATGAGGTTCATAGTAGTATTGGTTCAGACCCGATGACCGTTGACGTACACATTAAAATGAGGTTTGAGACCGGCAATGGGGTTCAAGTGTTACCGGTTTCTACGAATAAGCATGTGACAGCTCTAAGGAACGTTGTTGCAATGAAGGGTGTTCCCACTGAAATATATGTGGAAACGGTGCCTATATGTACCCAACACTGCAATCGGAGGCATACACGAGCACATACGCGCCGCAATTCTGGCCAATCCCTTGCGAGACAACCTGGACGCCCTATAACGGTCCCAGAATCATTCCCGACGGGAGCATGTTGCGTGGAATAGGGCGACCAAGGTCAAAGCGCATACGTAATGAAATGGATGAGACTAACCGGCCCGCGAGCAAATGTAGTCGTTGTCACGTTCAGGGCCATAACCGGGCAACGTGTCCATCGAGACCCTCAGAGGACCCATGACTGTTAACTGAAATTCGTTGTAATCGTAGATGGAGGAATTATTTTGTAATAGAAAATTTTGATTTAATAACATTTGGAACATTTTGATTTAATAACATTTGGAACATTTGATCGTTAACATTTTGGTTAATTGCTAATGCGTTAACTCTGTTGGGATTTGTTAAATTGCATGTGAACAGATACGATGGACGGTGAAGATCGTACGCCTGGACCCGTTGACCCTTCTGTGCTTACACTACAGGGCACACACCGCAGCGTTGCCGTATGGGATCAGACGGTAATATTGCATTTGTTTGTTCATGGACTACAGCTTGTTGAGTTTATATGGTATATGATCTTAATTTCTTTCTAACAGGTTGATCCGGCAAAGCAGCTCGTTTGCAGGCATTACACCACCAGGTTCATGGTGGGGTGGGGAATCGATCCTCGCGTTTTGGCGTACGTCGAGTTTGTCGGTTTAGGTGGTTTTCACCGTATGGCGTATAGGGAGATCGATCGAGCGCTTGTCACTGCGCTCGCGGAGAGGTGGAGACAGGAGACGCACTCCTTCCACCTACCTGTTGGTGAGACGACCGTTACGTTACGGGACGTGGCGATTCTTACGCGCCTTCCAGTACATGGGTCTGCGGTGACAGGACACGCGTTAGTCGATCCCGTCGGTTTGGTTGGTCGGGTACTTGGTGTCCAGCCAGGTCCCGCCGATATTAGGGGATCCGGGTTGAGGACCGGCTGGGTCCGTGAGACTTTCCGTGAGCTACCACCAGGGGCTGATGACGCCCAGGTTCAGAGATACGCCCGGGCGTACTTGTTCTTCCTCATCTCGGGCGTGTTGTTCGGGAATAAGAGCGGGAGCCATCTCCAGCTCATTTACGTGCAGCTGTTGGACCACGACTGGGATCATATCCGAGGCTACAGCTGGGGTAGCGCCTGTCTGGCGACGTTGTATCGCCAGCTGTGCAGAGCATCCCACGTAGGTGCTAACGAGATTGGAGGTCCCCTGATTGTCCTCCAGGTACCTCACTTATTTCTGTACCAAAAAAACTATTTCACCACGCACTTACATATTTCATACTGAAGCTAGTTTTGTGTCTCTGTGTGCCAGTTCTGGGCTTGGGAGCATATCCATGTAGGCAGACCTGCGATACACCGTCGGGGGGAGCAGGACCAGGACGACCAGTACCAGGCGTACGATGCTCCCCCGCTCCCTACACCGGATGAGGCATATGGTTGCAGGTTCGATACAACTTTCATTGAGTTAGGCTTTATTTAATGCGCGGGGAACATTGTTCGATATTAGGTGGGTGGTACCCAGGCTGACACATGCTCATGCGGCGAGGGGTCTTCCGTATTACCGAGACGCCCTAGACCGACTCACCGAGGACCAGGTAACAATTTAAAATACAGTTTTAGCTTTTTTGTTTTAACATTGTACTTGTTGCGAACTAACATATTCATAATATTACTGTTGATGTGTATTTACAGGTGACATGGGACCCGTATGTACCTGACTTGGTAGATGCCATGCCTCCACATCTGCTAGACCATCAGGCGGAGTGGCGTGCTAGGGTCCCCCTGATCTGTTTCGAGGTTGTGGAGAGTCACCTGCCCGACCGAGTCATGAGGCAGTTTGGACTACGCCAGACTATCCCACAGGGGTGTGACACTAGTGTACAGCTTCACGGCATTGATCGTCGGGGAAAGGGGGAGACCAGCTGGGCGCTGGAGCATTGGCGTTTCCTTCAGCTATGGGAGCAACGGTTGGAGTTCATCGTTGGAGGTGATCTAATGCAGGGGGCTATGGATCCCGACGATCCGTACATGGTGTGGTACAGGCGTATCACACGACGCTTCATCAACCCCAGCTACGCACCACCATCCACACATTACCATCCAGCATATGACATCATTAGCGGATATGTGAGTTATTATTTTTCTACTCCTTTTCAACAATTTCCATATTTGTATGCCATAGATCTGACTGATCGATGATTACTGCAGGCGGCGGATATGGTGGCGATGGTTGATGCGCTATCAGTCTCCCTTGAGTGCGGACCCACTAGAGCCCAGGTCGAGCAGGTGCGAGATATGGGCGTCGCTACCTTACGGAGATATGGTCACGCTCATCTCGTCCACCGGCGGGACGGTCATGATGGCAACTCACAGTTCGATCTCGGCCAGAGCAGCGGTGGATGTGATCCTACGTCACCCAGACACGCAGAGGATTACAACATCCACAGTACTGCGCCCTCTGGTACCCAGGAGGACCCCTCGTCCAGTCAGCTGACTCCCCCACCGCCCCGAGACCCATTCACCACCGTCACTCATTACAGGCGGCGACGTGTCAGACGGAGGGCCGACACTCAGGAGGCAGGACCTTTACCCCGAATAAATGAGTCGGGCTAGTATTATCTGTTGTATTCCCTGTTATTTTGTGTAATGATGTACATAACACTTATGAAATTAATATAATAAATCTTTTTTGAATGACTCCGTGTGTGCTTTGAAGTTAATTTGGTGGTTGGACTGTTGTTGGGCTGTTTTGAGTTTTCTGCAGTGCTTAAAGTTGACGGAACTCCCAGAATATGGTGGTGGTACGTGGTGGGGAGTGGCGGAGTTGGTGGTCGACGGTGGTGGGGTAGGGCTGTGGAGCTGGCTGTTGTGGTGGCTGTTGGAGGACTGCAGCATGCAAGCTGTTTGCTGAAGCTTGTTTTCTGCCTGGATGCTGGTTGCTGTTTCCAGCAGAAAAGCGTTGTCTGAGACAGCGCTTTATGTTCAAGCATAAAGCGCTGTCTGAGACAGCGTTTTATGTTCAAGCATAAAGCGCTGTCTGAGACAGCGCTTTATGTTGAACATATAAAATAGTTGTAGTTGAATTTTTTTAAAAAAAAAAACCAGGGGTAAAACGCTGTCCGAGACAGCGATTTACCCTGGAAGCTTAGTTTGGTAAATAGTTTTGCCACGCAACCATTTTTGTCATTAGTTTACGTTTAGAGCTCAAATTGGAAAAACGTAGGACCATAGAAATGTGACAAATAATTTTAGGTGAAAAGTAAAAAATAAAAATAAAATAAAATAAAAAATGAAATGAGAAAAGAAATCAAATAAAATCCAGATGAAAAAAGTGGCGCTTGTAATTTATTAGTATTTCGGTCCTTGTGTTATTGGTTGAGCTCAAGCCCTATCATTACGATATAGTTACCTGCATTTTTGTTTCGGTTTATCAATTACAAGTCGGGATTCGATTTAATTTTTAGATTTTTGTTCATCCTTAATCCAGATTTCAAACACAACAATTAGAATGTACAAGTATTTTTTTTTCTAACGTTTGACACCAAAAATCCAAATACATTCATCTGCAACACCCCTCAATGAAACAATGGAGAGAAATGGAGAAAAAAAAAAAAAAAAAAAAAAAAAAAAAAAAAAAAAAAAAAAGAAGAGAGAAGACCAATTAAGGATATTTTCGAACTGCACTAATTTCCTATAGCCATCTGGTGGTCCGTTACCTCAGCCTGGTGAGAGTACGTGCGATCTGGTGGTCCGTTGGAAACACCTAGGGGCGAAAGTGAAGCAAAGAGCTGCTTTCCTTGCATGGATTGTGTGGTCTGAGCGCAATAATAAGATTTTCTCGGGTGTGTACTCCAAATGACATTCTCACTGCTAGAGCTCATAGACTTGTAGAGGAATTTGGAAAATATAGCAAGCAGGTGTATGGCACGCCTACCCAAAAGACGAAACCCAGCAGTAACAAATGGCTGGCACCTCCTACTGGGCATGTGAAGCTGAACTCAGACGCATCCTTATGTGAAGAAGGGTGGGTGGGACTTGGAGTTGTTGCCCGTGATGAAGAAGGTAGAGTTCTTTTCTCAGCAACGAGAAGAGTCAAGGCATATTGGTCCCCGGAGATTCCAGAAGGTAAAGCTTTGCTAATGGCAATGAGGCTAGCTCGAAAGTTTGGCTATGAAGAGGTAGTACTAGAATCAGATTGTCAGGTTCTAGTTAACAGGCTCTCGAAGGGAGTGGTTTTTATATCTGATTTTGATAGTGTTATTGAAGATGTTATGTCTATTGGCGAATTTAAGTCCTTTTCTTGGTCTCATATTAAAAGGGATGGTAATTATGTAGCCCATCACCTTGCTAAGCTAATGTCGTTTGGAGTCGAACAAGTCTGGGTTAACATTGCCCTGAAATGGTTGCCCCCTATGTACTCTCGGACACTTTGTCCCTTAATTAATAAATACATTAGCTTGCTTGCCCTCAAAAAAAAAAAATAAATAAATAAAATCCTATAGCCATTGATTTTCTATTTTGAATTTGACAAGGTGATAACGTTTACCATAGACAATCTCGAAGCCTAAATCTAGTTGAGAAAACGTACACATTCAAGCTCTATGATAAATAATTTCCCAATAATAAAAGACCATTTCTTATCTAAGGTAGTTGGGCATAAGATAGCCAATTTACACTAAGATGCAGGCTATATGACATGGATAAATAGGGTAAAATACCAATCATGATGGTGTTGGCATCATTTATACATTAGCCACCAACACCACCACTAGATTTGGGATATAGATTGCAGAATTATTCGAATTACAAACACTAAACAACTCACATGAACAACAGCAACTAAAGCTCTAACTTTTGTTTATTAGGTTCATCAGAGCTAGTTGAAGCATCTGATCGCCTTCTCTTCAACTCATTGTCACCCAGTTGCAATGACACACAGATATCTTCATCCGAACCATTCCTCAACGCGGAGAGATTTTCTGAATGCTTAATCTCTTCTTGATCAAATTTATGTAGCGGGGATTGTCTAACAAAACTAGGAATAAACTGATGCTCGACACTTGGGCCTGACTTCTCTTCATCTTCCAAATTCAGGTCAGTTTCCATTGCTGATGAATTAATATCAGGGCCAGGAGGTCCATTTTCTAAAGGAAGATGCTGAATTTGGAGTCCCAAGGGCTGGAACTCCTCTTTGCTTTTATCCAATGGAAGTCCATCAGGAGGAGAGGAATCACCAACTGCAGAATTCATTGCTGTTGCTGATGCAACAATTTGTTCTTGCACTGCCTCTGTAATTATAGGTAGCTTAATTGCAAATAATAACAAGATTCAGGGATATATAGTCCTTGTTTTCTAGATAGCAAGAAAACACACATTATAGCAACAGAATATATATAGCAAATTAAATCCATATTGGTTGAAAATCTAACTATAATACCATAGAAATATCTTTAGTATTGACCAAGGCAGATAAGGTAACTGGGTACATATAAGCTCTTCCAAAAAATTTATTTCGTATTAAATAGTGTTAGCCTAAGGCTAGGTGTCCTTCAGATAACAAAGAACACTTCTGTCAGACAAATGGCAAATAAGGAAGTCCAAAAATAAATGATCAAATCAAAACACCACCAAAGTGCATTTAGATTGATTGCTAGCTCTTCCAAAATCACATTATGTCTTCTTAAAATCTATATGTATTAGATAGTGTTAGTCTGCAATGCTAGCTATCCTTTAGATAACAAAGAACGCTTCCGTCAGACAAAGGGCAAAACAAGGAAATCCACAAAAAAAATAAAAAATCAAAACAACACCACAGTGCATTTGATTGATAGCCAGAGCTCTTCAAATTCATAGCGACATGGATAAGGAAATACCTTTAAGCCCTTGGCTGGTTGTGATGAGATCAAGCTCAAGCAGATTGAGAAGCCTTCCTAAATCAACCCCACTAGTCCAATTCTCAGGCGCAAAACCAACTTTCAATTTCAGACGGCCACGATTGGCAGTTCCACCCCATATTATGCCAATTGGACGTGGCTTTTCCCCATTTTCCCCTACTAACATAATGAGGCTTCCACTGTCTCCTTCAAGGTCAAAGGTTTGCTGGTTCTCACCAACAACGAGAAAATCAGTCAAGAAGCATATTCCCTTCTCATCATTGTACTCAAGTGCGTAAGCTAATACAACGCCAGTTGTCAGGCCAGAACTTCGACCAACTTTCATTACTCGTTTTCCGATTAAGCTACTAATAGGAGATTGCAAATCTATATGCTTAACATCTCCTATATCCCCTACACCTTTTACAGATGTACTTATTGTTGACATATCAAAATCATCTACAAATGGAATGAATGCTCCATCTGCTCTCACAAATGTCTCTGTGTAGGAAAAACGTTTGTGAGGACATTATCAGCATAATCATACCAAATGAAATATCATATCAAAATTTACATAAAATAGCCATTGAGGTAGCAACAAAGGCATCAGCATCAGACAATGAGGAACAAACTAAGTCTCAAGACTCATTTAGGATTGGGTTGAAAATATAAAAAGAATATGTATTAATATAATGCAAATCTGGGCACTGTATAAGATTCAAACTTTTGATTAGTCTAAAAACCTTGATATAAAGGCAGAATTTACTTGAGAAATCTGAATCATTTGTCTTACGCAATAATAACATGAGCTTCACGCAATAATAACATGAGCTCAACGTTTTGGCAGAATTCACAAGCTTTTAAGTTTTAACATTGCTATAATATTAATCCCATACATCAGAGATTCTACCTTAATTGGGTATATACACAGCATCTCCCAATCCCATACTCTTCTGATCAGAACAATCATAATTCAATTTCCAAATATTCACCAACCAATAGCTTGCTAAAAATTAACGATAAACTGTTGCACACTTCCACCCCTTCCATTCCAATAATGTGTCTTAGTTGGTAAATATTAATTACTATAAATTTTTAACTAGTCAAAACTTAAAGTTCCAAATCCTCTCCCCTTCCCAATTTAATCTTTACACTAGGGATGTGCACAGAGGTTAAGGAAGCGAAAAGGCAGGGTAACAGTATGGATGAGTGTGTACTGTGTAGGGGCCAACTTTAGGAAATTAAAGAATATATAATCTTACTTAAAACAAGATTGTTGTATATAAGGAAATACTATACGAAAACTGCACAAATAATATTTCTTCTGTTCCTTTGAGATTGCAACATGGCAGGGGGTGGGAGAGTGCAGTGGGTAGTAGGTTAACCGATAGACGGAAAAAAGAGAAACAAAATTACAAACTTGTACATATATTAAATAAAGACTAAAGCAACAAGTATTAATAATTAAGGGAATTTACTATGTGAAAAGAGATACTTCCTTGGTTCCAAATCAATTGAAACGCTCATACCCTCATCGGCCTATCCTTCTCCTTGCCCAACCAACTGAATCGGCGACCTCAGCTACCTGTAATTATAGCTTGAGACAACCAAATCCTTCAAGATCCAAACATTCCAAAGTTCTAGAAGTTTGTACAGGTTTGGATGTGAAATTCATGACCCATTTCTTTCAATGGTTTACTTCCTTTTCCTCGCAACAATAGCCATTAGTGTTTAGAAATGCCGTGTGAGTTACCAGATTGAAGAGGGCTTAAAAGGGGAAGTGAGTAGAGAAGAAGTTTGTAAATAGGAGAGAGAAATGGGGTTGGTGGTGGAAGTACTTGCGAGGGGGTTGGTGGCCATACCATCATAGCAGTGGCAGTGGAATTAATGGAAGATTGTCCTTTGGAGTGGAGAAGATGATGAAACAATAAGAGGGGAACTACGGTAGAGGGAGGAGAGAGAAGCTGAAATAGAAAAGCTGAGGTTAAAATTGACATTTCAACTCATAAAAATTACCCAAAATAGATATGTTTACTAAAAAGGAATTTCCCAAAAAGGAACATAGGAAGAATATGTTTTCCTAATACGAGTTAATTGCGATATTTTTAAAACTTAGTGAAAAGGTAAACGTTGCAAGAAGAGGACAAGGTGTCCTCAAAAAGAAATAGGTTATCAAGGCAAGCTAAGCCGATTCCTTAGTATGTTTCCAAGTGTAACTTGGAAAAGCCTCCTCAACCTTGCCAAAAAAGAAGCTAATTAAGTTATATATCCCACAATAGATCACGTGAGATAGCAACATTATTGTAAAAACGGCCATTCTGCTCCAACCAGATACACCAAAAAAATAAGCCGTTGTCACGATTTGCTGAAGCAACTTCTTGCTAGCACAAAAGGCTACATACAGAATTTGTAACTGCTCTTGTATAAAGGTCTGAATTCTGACTCAATACTCTCCACAGACTACAAAGAGTATTTTCCAAGAGTAGCAAAACATAAAACAATGAAGTCAAGTGGGTATGGGTCATTAGCAGCAAAACATAAAAGGTCTGAATTCTGACCCAATACTCTTCATAGACTACAAAGAGTATTTTCCAAAAGTAGCAAAACATAAAACAATGAAGTCAAGTGGGTATGGGTCATTAGCAGCAAAGCAAGCAGATGTCAGGTGTTTCAAAATTCCTGGTAGCTGCTTTTAAAGCATATTGTAGGTATTAAACCTTTCCAAAGCTAAAGTCCACCCTAATGGGGACCTTTGACCCCCAAATTAAATACGGAAAAGAGAGAGTGTAATTTTAGAACAGCAAATATAGGGCACTACACTCTGCCTTTCAAGTTCCACAAGGACATGGAGTAATCAAGCATCCACTAGTAAAATTAAATGATATGGCAAAAAACCAAGTTCATAAGGATTAAGGAGTATAGATTAATTGTTGAAGTTGCATACTATATTACTATGCATAGTACAGTACATCTTAAGCAAAATGTAATTATCAACTATCTAAAGTCATTATTCCAGCACTAGACTGACTAAAAGGGGAAAGAAACCTACCCTTGCCCTTTCAACACCCACTAAATATAAGAAGGATACAAAAAACAAGGAATGACAGGCTTCCTTGTGTAGCAAGAGTAATGTTGTTCCATTATAGAAACCATTTTCATGTAAATCAGTAATTTCATTTACACTTGCACCCCTAACCACAAAATTTGATGGAGCCAACAACAAAAGAATTGCAAATGGAAGATCTCAGAGGTAAAAAAAAATTCAAAAGAGCAACTGTTTTAGCTTAAGGATCAAAGTCAGCATAATCCACTATAAAAACTGGAAATTGTTGCATACAAGATGCCCTACCTCAAATAGAATGTAGGCATTATAGATATCTAAATTGTGTATCCCTAATTTAGCATTCGAGATTAAATTGAAATAATTCCTCCGTTCCACAAATATTGCAGCAATTTAGGCAATAAGGTTAGGCATAATTGTTCACAAGAACAAAAATCTAAATAGAATGTAGGCATTGTCATTGATGGAAGTTTCACAATTATTGCAACATTTCCCTATTTGCACATGTTTTCTCTCATCTCTCCTCATCACATGGGTCCATAAATTTATTCCTCTCTATCTCTCTCTTCTTGTTAAAATCATCCCCGTCCATGTTGCAATTTTAGGGGAACGGAGGAAGTATTGCTAAAGTAGTTAGATTATGTGATTCATCCCCCTGTCTTATCTGGCCAATTTCCTAGCCAATACCCACCTTAGCCAGTTCCCATAGTTAGTCAACTTTCCCTATCCTTAAACCCAAAATTAAACTCAAATAATTCAAAAAACATTGAAAATTTCTGTGAGCTAGCTTGGATGTCACTTCGAATAAGCTTTACAACAATATATAAGCCTTATTTATGTTATAACAAAGAAATATGGGCAAAATACTAAAATTGAACTCAAAATGGATACCCCTACACTCTTTTGGCTATGTCTCAAAGTCTATAAATAATATTGGCCAAATTTCAATTGAGATGAAAAGAAGACTTTCATAGCTTTCCAATGATATATCATAAGCCCCATTTATAGTTCATGATCAAAAGTTATGACCCTAAGTCACGACAGCTTCTCATTCGACACCAGACTTTCACATTTGGTGTGAGATTGCCGAATTTCAATTCTTCCGAAAGTTTCCACCCATCTTTATAAACATCCCTTTTGAGCTTAAACCCCCTTCTTGTAAAAGTTAAAATAAATAAATAAATAAATTCCAAAAAATAATGGTATTTACAATAATCTAATCTGCTTTCTCCCTCTATTTTGTAAACCTAAACCCCCTTTTAGTAGATCTAATACTCGATTAATTTATTGTATTTGACCCTTACAATCCAGGTACTAATTATAAGGAACCTTCTCTATATTAATCTACTTCAAAAAATATAGAGTTTAACCCTTTTCCAATTATCTTTTAAACATTACTTCCTTCGTTTCTATTTAGTTGAGACGTTCAATTTAGTAACACATATTAAGGAGAGGAAAGCAAATGAGAGAGAATGATAAAGCAAGTGGGGTAAACTAGTAAATGCAAAGTATAAAACTTACCCAAAAAGGAAACATGTCAAATAAAAATAAACTTCCTAAAAAAGAATACGAACAACTAAAAAAAACGAAGGTAAGAATTATTTTTATTCTTTAATTAATTATTCATGATTTAGATTGTTATCTTACATTGTGCAAGTTTGATAATAATTCTTTTTATATAGGTTTCATAGTGCAGATCTTGTCTTATTATTATTTCTCTATATTAAGACTAATTCATTCAGTACTTACAATTGTTGTAGCTATACTTGTTTATGTGCATAATACCTAATCTAGAACTCAACTATAAGATAGACTATTATCAAAAGCTTCTAGCCTCTTTTGCAAGGAAATGAGTTCTCAGGTTTCTTTAAAATTCGTTAATGTAGCTCATTTAAAAAATGGGCAAGTTATGCACAAAGCTGTCTTGTATAGTGATCAACAGCTTTAGCAATATGTTACGAGAAACGAGAATCTAAAAACTCGAAAAATGTTTCCTGACAGCATCTTAAGCCCCCCCCCCCCCAAAAAAAAAAAAAAATAAAAAAAAAAATACTTTTTGTAGTTTACGTCCCATCCACACTAACATATGAATTGGCACTGATTTTCAAACCAGGCCTTCAACTTGGAGTTTCAAATGGTCAACTGATTTCTTCGAAAATTTCTCTGTCATGCAGCTTGAAGAGATATGACAAAAGTACAATTATACTGGGTCCACCGCAATCTTCTGTCATTGCATTAGCAAAAGTCCAAATGCCTCAGTCAGATTGACTGTCCAATATTTCAATCAACCTTTCACATCACAATAATGCCAGGGCTTGCAGTTTTGTAACATGATCATTTAAAATCTTTGTCCAATATTATAAATTTGAGTAATTTGCACTAAGAATTAAAATGAGGGGACACAAGGTCACATTACCTGGATTTATTCCAGCAAAGATGCCATACCATAGGTCATCTGTGATGAAGGATGTAGCCCTCTCCACAGCACCCAAATATACACCAGGGCCAAGATTTGGTGGCAGAGGATGAAACATCTTCTGACTTGGATAATCCAAATCAACTGCAACATGCCGGTTTGTTAGGAAGCCCACTTGTCTACTTCCAGTTTGACTCCTCACAATAGCACCCAGGGTTCCATAAGTCTCTTGGCTTGCCACCTATGCATAATCAAATTGTATACAGTGATTATCCATTTATCCTAGATAGCCCATCATTACCACACCAAAAAAAAAAAAAAAAAAAAAAAAAAAAGAATATCTCCTAAAAAAACATTATCACCAAAAAAAGAGAAAAAGAAAAAATGATGAAATCGAAAGGCAACCGAACATATACATAGTAACATTATTATGATGACAAAGGTTCTGCAAGCAGGCAACTTTAATAATGCCTTACTGAGTCCAGCAATCTCGAGGCATATATTGAAGAAAATTATCAAAACAACAAGGTAAAAGCATCATATCTTAGCATATGCAATTCCATTGTTGCTCTTTAGGCATAATTTTCCCATTAGTCCGTCATGACAAGCAATATGATTTAATATGGTACATAAACAACTCCACCAGAACAAAGAAGGGTCCAATTGGATAGTAAAGTCAAGCAACATTCCCCCCCCCCCAAAAAAAAAACGCTCAATAAATACCAAAAATGAGAAACTAATAGGAGAACCGCTAGAGGTAAAATAATCAACATTGAAGACAAGAACAAATAAAAGATAGACGTCGAAATAATGATAACATATACTCTTGTTCGCTTAAAATAAGATATTGTGAATTGTCCTTCAAAAGCTAGAGGATCAAGTTGAAGAATCTCATAAGGCTAAAGAAACAACTCGCTTGAAAGATAGAGTGCTGCTTGATCTATGAAAAAATTGGAGATGACTCCAGCTATATACACTAAAACATAAAAAAGGGCGCAGTGCAATGCATAATACCATCAATACTACTCGTTAACATCATGAGCATAGCCTATATCTGATGCACTAATACATTCGCTTCATTAAGCAACCAGATAGCTTGTTTCAAAGCAATGAGGAAAGCCTGGTAGATTGGAACAAAAATGGTAGCCCCCCCCCCCCTCCTCCTCCCAAAGACTGCCAAATTGGCCTCCATCATTGAGTACTGTGAGCTTAAGTTCAAAATCCTACCGACATTTTTCGACATGAAAAATTTACAGAATTACAATAACTCAATAAGTATGATCAAGCTATAGTAAGCATGTGGTAACAATGCGAATGGGATTTGACCAAGACCATAAGAACAAGTGCACCCACAAACTCTAGCTTAGGAATAACTACAATGCCAAAATTCAGGTAGCATATAAAATTTAACATCAGCCTTTCATGTAAATTGTTTGAACTCGGATATTGGTATTGGACACAGGTACACATTTAAGTGTCCAAAATTTAAAGACAGGTCCTTCCCTCCATTTGGGCATGAGTACAGAGACACCACATTGGAATTTGTAAGATATATTATTTTAGCTTGTACATATACAATTTTAAAATTTCATTCAACTTTAGTACCATCTTCCAGGCCCAACTTGGTAGCTACTGCCTACCAAAGCACATACATCAAACCCTAGCTTACTAAAAGAGGGCATATATGAAATAAATAAAATGATGGTAACTACACGAGAGATAAAGAAAAGAGGGGGAAAAAAAACAGAGATGCCAACCATATGAGAACATTGAAAAGGAAACGAGGGGGAAAAGGAAAAAAACAAAAAAAAAAACAGCCACATGAATGAGGAAAAAAAACCTTCTAGAATGGGAAAAAAAAAACAGTTGTATTTCTGGAAGGCAAACAATGACCTAGTTTAGCCTCGAATTAATTACAAGAAAATGTTTTGTAAAACTTTAAGGAAAAAATACCTGTGAACCTGAACCAATACATGAATCATTTCCACGCAAATCATCCACTATCTCAGTGTAAAGTTGCTCCTTGGGTGCAGGCTCTGGAGCTCCAAAATAAGAGAATTCTACCACGTCCACATCACACCATACACCTCCTGGTCCCTAATAAAAAATTTCAAGAGCCATCAATAAATGAACATAAAACTCATATTATGTCTCACAATATGAGCATATAGTAGCCCATATCCCCAGATGAACATATAGGCAAGTAAAAGTATGAAACAGACCTAGTAGTGTAAACTAAAGGCACAATCAAACAATAGAGAGGCCGTATCATCCAATTGAAGAGTGCACTGGCGTTTGGTTTGCAAACTAGTATGGGTTTGGAATCAAGAATAGAACCATAATGGTATGGGTTTGGAACTTGATTCTTAATACCATATGTGTAGTATGATTATGAAATGAAGTTTATTTTCTTTTATTTGATACCTAAAACCATTGGTATGACCCAAATCCACCTCTCCCCTAGGTTTCTAAACCCCATACTTTTAGGGTTTTGAGGTATGGGTTTAAAACTCTTAAAAACATAAAAACAAACATAACGTATGGTTTAAATCATTCTAAACCCATACCTCATATCTGTGAACGAAACACCTTTAAAGCTTTAATAACTTCAGATTTACCTTCTTTCACTTTTATTTACTAATAATATTATTAAATTCAAAGAGCACAAGGGTGTTATATCCCATAAACAAAAAGAGGGCTAGAGGCAGAAACATCATGCTCATAACTGCCAAAGGAATACAAGTGCCACATAACTTATTAAAGAAAATAAACAAACCAACTTTTCTTTTCTTTTGAAGTTCATATGAAATTATACTACATTTACCCTAGTTCTTGTACGAATGGTGAAGAAGAATTGAAGAGTAAAAATATGGAATATTTTGAGTTCATGAACAATTGGTATACCGGCATAAAAGGTAGAGGCCCAAAAAAGATGCTGAATTTGGTCTTAAGAATGTGAAGTCCTAAAATAATTGAGCAACAACTGAAAATATAATTAATCTCTTAAACAACAAAGGATTGCAGCACGCTTGATGAGATTTACATAGATGTACCAACTTCAATCATGCAAAGCAGTGGATATCCATCTCTTATGTGGACTGCAACTATTAAAATTCTTTCAAAGGAAGATAATAGACGGCAAAAGTTTTCTTTGTGAGTTGCGAGGATAATTAAATTGAGAATAGTCCTTTAATATAGCTTGTAACAATTACACACATTCTGCCACAGTTTTCGTGCATCTTTTGAGAGAAAGAAACTGGGGTTTCGTGTGTGCAGACTGGACAAGAAACTTCAAGGGGCAATCTATTCACAAAATTGAACAATGTTTATCAATATACAAGAAAAAGCTTATCATATAAACAATTTTTATCATGACTTGCATACTGACAAATGTATAATACTTTACTGCAGGTCGCCTGAAGCATTTTCAAGAAAATTTAAGTGTTATGCTTTGAAAATGGGTTAACAAATATGCTTCTTATAGCATCATCCCTTTACAAGGAATTAATGTCCCTAGTTGCCACAGTGCGTTGCAATACTAGTCCCTACCTCCTTCCAGTTTGATGGGTTACATAAGGAAGTCATTAATCAATATATATAATTGGAAAAAAAAAAAAAAAAAGGCGGGGGCACACTTTGGAGCTGCATGTTGCTCGGTTTTTGAGAAGTGTCAACGTGAACCATGGCTGCAAACCATTAAAGTGCAAAATTGAACACTTCCCGCTAGATTATCGTAAGAATAGTTTTAAAGCTTAGACTTTTTAATTTGTTTGATGAAACATAAAAGTCACGCAGGTTTAAGTTAACTGTTACATTGTTGTATTTGATGGGAGGATAGGCTGTCTCTTTATGTATCCTTCGTCTATTGATGAATTCTTTTTCTCAACGAAACTAGAATAGAAGAAATGTAACAAGCAAACAATTAAAAACAGGAAGGATACACTGACATTGTATGTTGCTTAGTTAACTAGGTCTGAAAGACTGACTTATATTTTGACATGCGTAGTTGAAGGTTAATGAAGAGTCCAAATAACATATTATAACATTTGACAGCAGATCTAATAAAATGGAGCATAAAGCCTAGTTAGAATATATATATTTAACTAATACTGATAGTAATAAGGCCAAAGGAATAAAACTTATTAAATAATAAAGTTTTACCTCCAAGGCAGTAGGTAAACATTGTATGGGGGTCAGCCATTGCTTGTGCACCTTCCTTGAAACGAAAACAAGGATGGCAGGTACTTGAGTCAGTACACCCTTTCTGATGCGAAAACCAATTGCTGTGCCAAGACTATAACAACGTAAAATTTTGCTGTGAAATGCCCTTATGGTCATCAACTCAAGCAAAGTTGTGGCACGCTGCCCTTGAGGTAACCGGCCAAGAGTTTCAGGGAGAACTCCTTTTTGAAGGTTTGCAAAGTAATTTGCCCTCTCTTCAGCAGCATCACTTATCCGACAGGAAGCTGGCCATGAGAAATAAGCTGCACTACTTTCAGAGTGCTGTCCTGCTGATGCAAAGGGTTGAAGGGGTGGACTCAAAGAAGGGAAATTATGATGACCACAGGAATTCCTTTCCAGATCCAATGCTGACTCATCTGATGGGATAGGACCCGAGCAACGAGCTCTATTTACTCGATTTCGATCCATCTTCCACTACCTAAGATAAAAACCATGTGAGAAAAGATAAAAACCATAAACCATGTTTTCTCACATCACCAATCAATCCTCTCACCCAAAATTCCACCAAAATGTCATAAATAAACCTGAATTCTTAAGACCTAAAATCATACTTACAAATCAAATTTCAACCCCGACTAAAATCAATTATACCCTCTCTCATTTATAGGCCAAACCCACATCAATTCTTGACAATTATATTAAATTAGCAAATACCCAGAAAATATTTGCACAAATTAAAGGGACCCATTAGCAAAAACCAGAGCATAATTGAAAATTAAACAAACAAGCAAACATTTTAGATAAATTAATTAAATAAAAACAAAAAAAACAGCCGACAAGAAATTTAATTTAACAATTAAAACCCAGAAAGTAAAGATGGAAATAAAGAGAGAAAACTTACTAATCAATAATGGCAGCAAAGAAGATGAAGGATTGAAGATGAAGAAACAACTGTAGAAATGGATACCTTAAATAAAATATAGGGGTTTAACCAAAATCAACCATTTAATTAATTAGTATATGTACATAAAAATTGGTGGGATATATATAATACTGATGTTGAAGATTTGAGCTATAGATGGGATGTCTTTCAGAAACAGTGACACCCCCCAATAGAGAAGAGAGTAGTAGTGACTAGTGAGGAGAGATTGAATGAATGAATGGAGAGAGAAAATTGAACAGTATCAAACTCCGACATTCCAAAAAAGGTACGGACTGCGCAAAAGTGGAGGGGAGATTAAAATATTGAAAACTATCCGTGCAATGTATGGTTTTTCAACCTTTGTGAAGGAGTATCAATTTAAAATTCATATTTATTTAATCTCAAATCGAGCTACTTAAAATATATTTTTTTTAACTTTTTTGAATACATTTTTTTTTTTTAAGAATTTTTTAATACATATTATATTGCTTTCTTCTATTTTAAACCTTGATGGAATTTTTTTTTTCAAAATATAATAATTTTTCATTCACCAATTATATTAAGTTGAAAAATATATATGATTTTTTTTAACTATATATAAATAATCATTATACATTAAAAAGTAATCACTAATTCTTATAAAAAAAAAAGTAATCACTAATACGGGAATTTATTTATACAAAGATATGGTTAGATATTTAAGTTTATAAATATACTAGTTTTGTACCCAGTGCAATGCCCGGATTGTTTATTGAATTGTAAGATAAATTTTTAATCTGTATATCAAATTTAAAAAAATATATTATTGATACAAATATTAATTATAATTTGTACATCTGAAATATTGGTATTTTATCGAAAATAAAACTATAAACTAACAATTTTATCAATTCTATCCAAATAGAATTCTAAACTAACTTTTTTTATCTTGTAAAGTCTATTTAAGTTTATCCTACGTGGCGCGACACTTGGCGAAAAGTTAGAACGCCAAGTGTCGCTGCTTCGTGACCTGGCTAAAAGTTTAGCTTTATATATTAGTTATATGATTATTATACGATTTTTTTTACCTAAATTTTGGAAGTAATATATTTTGTGTATATTTTTTGTCAATTTATAAAAACTTTTTTTTTTAAATATACTAAGGACACACCATAAAATGACATGTGTCATTGTTGGTGTGTCTTTTAGTATATTGTTATTGATTGTAAAGAAAATCTTGTGTGGTAAGTGGTAACTGACATTATATTTAACATAATGACCCATCAATATAAATAAAATATCGTTTAACTATTAACTATTACTAAAACAGAAGTCTGCTGACATCATGTTAGGGTGAATAGCATGCTAGTATCATGTTAGGGTTAAAGCTTTGATTTTTATTGTTTAGTGACATGTTAGGGTTTGTTATTAATCTTGTTAGTATCATGCCTAGGATCTTGCTATTATTATGCTTTATCATGATTATGATGATTATTATTATTTTGATTATTATTATGTTGCTTGATTATATTGCTTGATCACACCTTTTATGCATGTTTAAAGGGAAATTGTACTTGTAATCACGCTTAATAAGATAATTAATAATCTTGTTTAGGGTTAATATGATTATAATTCAAGTGATCGCCAATAATAGTTTTATTTGTGCATTAATATTCAACCAACATAGATTAAACAGGTTTAGGGTTAAACCTATTGATTGCATGTTAGTCAGAAAGCGCACATGAATACGAACAGAATAAAGTAGAGGCCTATTATTAGGGCAAGTTCAATCTCTTTTAGGTTGGATTTGTACCTTCATCCTCGAACTACCAGTCATGGTTCCAGACCTATTGGAGTTGACGATCTCTTGGATCGTTAAGGGGTGTAACCTTCACATCGTGAGCGGTTTACAAGTTCCTAAAACTTGTTGGCGACTCTTTTTCTCTATCTTATTTCCCTTTGGACACCACCGTACTTTAGTGTATGATCACAGTGGGGTTCAAGCTAGGGATAATGCTTGAACTATTCCCTACAGTTTCTGGCGACTCCGCTGGGGAGGATTTCTATTTTAATTCCTGAAATTTATTTCAGCAATGATTTAGAATGAGTAGATGAGACTCGAAAAGATCTAAGTATTTCATGAGCGTAATTTTGATTAACATTATTGTCATATGCATAAAAAAGATCTCATTGGAAAGACCATCCGTAATGAGATAAAATATAGGATTTTTACACGTAGAAAATTCTCGGAATATCTTTCACAACTAAGATCGAAATAATGCTGCGCGAAACTGGAAAATTTTATCGAGCACAGAAAGCTGCTAAGGCATGTAGGAACTAGCTTCAGGGAACAAAGTCTAGCGCCACTTATTTGACTTTAGCGCCAGGCGACAGCTTCTGTCGCCAGGCGCTAAAGCCAAATTGTGGCGCCGACCTTTGTTTAATTTGCTGGCGCCAAGTTCTTCCAATACCGAGCCAGAAATATGCGTTCTAATTTCGACCAGTTTTTAGCACTGTTTGCTCGATCCTACTTCTTGATTGAGTTTTTCTCACTTTTTTGAAACCCATATGTTTTCTACATATGGGCATAACCCTCTGGGAATTCATGCTCCATCTACCTGATTGAACGCTCTAAGCAACAAAGGGTACATCCGAGAATGTTGAATTCACTAAACCATGGAGGCGAGTTTTTCTTAACTTACGGTGTCCCATCCACTTGCGCCGACCCTTCACGGTTAGGCTTTCGTGCGGTGCATCCGGACAATTAACCATGGACCCTCTTTGACTAACTCATATCCCGAAATTTAGAGAACTAGAGCCATGGTTAGGTTGCAAACTCATTGCATCATGTTGTGACTACTTGTACATCTCCTACTTGTGCATACTTATTATGTGACTAAACTAATCATGTTGTGCCTACTTGACTAATTGTGCATTATTGGTTGTGCATACTCTATGTGTTTTTTCCTAACCGTTTGTTTGACTTGTGTTAAGACTAAATAAGCTGATTTATGACTAAAAGAACTTTGCCTAATTAATTAATTTTAGTAATTAAAGTCTAATAATTTAATCAAAGTTGACTTAGTACGACTTTAAGCATACCCTGTAGAGTAATAATACCGAAAGCAGTTCTAGATCGATGTTCCAGTAATGGCACCGAGATTTAGACTGCAGCGCCACTCTGTGGAGCGTAGCGCCTAGCGACAGTCTTGTCGTCTGGCGCTTCATTGCAAAGAGAGGCGCCAGTCCTGTCGTTTTGGCGACAATTCGGTTTATTGCTCGAGTCATCACCTTATGTCTAATTGAACAGTTTGCTAGTCAATTCAGTCAATTTTTACTGGTAATAATACCGTGTCAAGTCCTTAATCGAGTCTAGGCACTAAGTCCCATGGTCTTACACAAGAGTCAAAGCATGTCACTTACACTCACCATATAAAGCACACACTAATGCACACTCTGACCATGTCTAAGAGAGTCTTGTATGCGCGTATTTTCCGTCATTTTTTGTAGGGGGTAAGTCCTATATTAATCCTCCAATTAAACCACTTGTTTGAACCCTATACTTAACTGCCAAAAATATACACCTTATTTTTGCCAAAAATATACACCTTATTTTTGCCAAAAATATGCACCCTAATATGCACCATATTTCTGCTTTTTTCTTTTTCAAAACCCGTAAAGTCAAAGTCAATTTGAGTCAAGTCATTAAAATAAAAATGGTTTAATTTACAGCACATGGTCAAGAAAGGAAGGGCGTTTGATCAAAGACAACCTTTTTATTCAAGTTCAACTTTTCGACAAACCAATCGCTCATAAAAGGAAAGCTAAGACGATAATGGCAACTCAAGAGGAAGTTAATGAGCTTAGGAACCAATTGATTACTGTGGCTGAGGCGTTAAAGGTTTTAACCCTCAAAATCGATGATCCTGTGAAGCAAAAACAGATGGACCTCACGCAAGAAAGTCTAAGCAAGTTGTCTAGTGACTATAAGTTTCAAGGCATTAGCTCACAAGGTGTCTCGGTGGACAAGGATCTTCTTCCGCATAAGTTCAATGCCAACGACATCTCGAAATTCAAAGCGACTGACAACCCTTATTTTCACCTAAGAGCTTTCGAAACAATAATGAGCATTAAGGGTATTGACAAGAAGGTGTTTCCCTTCTTGTTTTCTCTATCTCTTGAAACCGTTTGCCAACAATGGTTCTTCTCTCTTGAGAAAGAAAGAACCTCTACTTGGGAGTCTATAGTAAACACTTTCATTGATAGGTACAAGCGCAACATTCAAGTTGAAACTGATTATAGAGAACTTTAAATTCTCAAGCAGAAGGAGAATGAAGGTTTCACTTCTTTCTTCAATAAATGGAGAGAAAACTCTGCAAAAATGATTGAAGTACCAAGCGAAAAAGAATCTGTGAGGTTGTTCATCAAGAACCTTCAAGAGAATTACTCCAAGCATATCAAATACCAGAATAATCTCCATACCTTCAAAGCCGTCTATGACATTGGAATTAATATTAAAGACAACCTAGCTAAGCTGAAAGCTGCTAACAGTAACTCCAACAGTGGCTGGAAAGGAAAGAAGAACGATAATCCTTCTTCTTCTAAAACCACCCACTCAAACAATGTTAGTACCACTTAAGTGAAGTCCTTGCTATGAATAATCAAGGACAAAAGAAACCATTTAGGAGGAACTTTACTCCTATAGGTATGAGTTATGACACCGCATTTGACCGATTAAATGCAAAAAGTCTTATAACTCCTATTGGACCATTTGGGGATCCACCAGTCGAGAAGATGACAGCTAACTGGAACCCCAATGCACATTGCAAATATCACCAAGGGGATATCTTACCGAAAATTGTTGGAAGCTTAAGGAAGCTATCCAAGATTTGATCGATAACATCAAATTTCCATTGCCTCCTGCTAGTTAGAAGCCGAGCATTGACAATGCACCTCTCGCTTATTCCTTGGCCATCTCTGATGAAGAAAACGAGGTTGATCCCTCATCTCTCAACAAGCCTATCGAAGAAATCCATGCTATCGAAGAAGAGGAGGAGATCTTTTTCGATGCCATGGATGACTTTCCTGAACTAGTAAGTAAAGAGGATGTACGGTTTCTTACATTGACCATGTTAGAGGGATCAAACTTGCTACATGAAGCTCTTGAAGTCGCGAAAAAACAATTAGAGGAGTTTCAGAAAAAGTGTGACAAGATTCCACCCACGAAAAATAAACCCAGGAGAGAGTTCACACCCATGGGAATGACTTATGATGCTACTTTTGATCGTCTATATGATCAAGGATTAATCAAACCTATTGGCCCTACCTAGGATCCAACACCAGAAAAGCGATCTTCAAGATGGGATCCCAATTCTTATTGCAAGTACCATCGAGGAAACGGTCATACCACTAATGAATGCTACAGGTTTCAAAATCTTATTCAAGATCTCATGGAAGCGAACAAGATCCCATTGCCTCTAGCTAGCGAGAAAACTAGGAAACCCTTCTCTCTGCAAGTAATTGACAGACCCAAGAAGAGTAATAGACTCTATACTCCAATTGGGATTTCATACGCTAAAATGTTCAACATGCTCTCTGAG